ATATATATATATATATATATATATATATATATATATATATACACGATAATAATATATGTTATTCAATCATAAATAATCATTATATATAGAACAAGTTTATTGATTTTTATAACAATTATCTTATAAAGTTGATAACAATGATGATTTATGTTCAGTTGATGTATAAAAATTAATACATTCTTATTAATTAAATTCATTTTATGATATTTAAATTTATTACACTTAATAAAAAGTAGTATTTTGATATGTGTATTTCAAATGTTAAATATTTTTTTTATAACATAACTATATATATATATATAGATATATAGATATATAGATATAGATATAGATATAGATATAGATGGGAAGAGACGAGAGGAGGAGATCCACTTATTTCCAGAGTAAGTATATCTAGATATACACTATTTAATAACTCATATTTTAAATCAAATTTCAATTATTCAACCGTTGAATTAAAATTTTTTAATGCATATATCAAATTTGAAAATTTCAAAAGAAAAATAAGTTATTTGTTACTCCATTTTACTAATTCAAATTAATGCATAAAATATTTTTATGGTTATTTGTCAATTTGAATTAATGAAACAATTAAATTTTTTTAAAAATTTGCAAACTTTGTTTGTGTATAAAGAACTTTTAATTTAACAATTGGATCGTTAAAATTTAATATAGAATATGAGATATTGAATATAGTAAGTTTAAGTATATTTATTCTTAGAGTAAGTGACATCTTTTCTCTCTCTTTCTCTCTCTCTCTCTATTTCTGTCTCTCTCTCTATATATATATATACTTATATATTAAAAGTGATTCCTTATTTTTATGTATACAATATTTTTGAATTGTTTTATCATTAAATTTTTAAATAATAAAAAAAAATATTGAAAGTTATTTTTTTTTTACAAATCTAAGACTCAAATTCGATACCTTAAAGCTTGACGACTGGGCACAATACTAGTTAATTCAACAAATATTAGTAATTCTTAAACACCTTTAAATAAATATAGAGATATAAAGTATCTCAACTCTACTAATATATATAAAAGAAATGATAAAAGGGATTTCCTCATTTGGTGCTTACATTTCTTAGATAACTTTGTCCCTATAATACCATTTTTAGGGTTATTTGGTCATATTTTTTGGATTATAGATATATTTTTGTGAAGTGGAGTTTATATATTGTAATTTATCCGTTATTTGGAGTATTTGTTTGTGAGAAATATATTTATGAAGAGAAAGGTTATATCTTGTTTTATTTAGTACTTAAGATATTTGTAAACACAACTTCGCAATAGTAAGATATTATTTATTTTAAGCTTACACCTTCATAATTTTAATACTTTAAATCATCACCCAAAAAGTCTTTTGTCAATAGAGTATATGTTTATTTAATAAACTCTTATTTTTCTTCTTATTATATGTATTGATGTAAGACCTTATTTATATATCAATAATACCTTCACTCCCCATTCATTTTTGGTCTCCACTTTATTGAGACAACTTTATCCTTAAATGTCTTTATTTTTTTTTTCCTGTTTTAGAAACTTTTTCTCTCACTTTTATATATAGTTTCTGATTAATAGATATCTTTACATTCACTCATTACTCATATAAATTTCCTTTTTCAATTTAAATAAAATATAAAAACATGAAAATTTTCTTTCCTATCGATTGTATATAATTATAAATTTATATTAGATAATTTATATATATATATATATATTATATTTGAATATATAAATTATATTTTAGATTTAAGATAAATAATTTATATTTCAAAAAAAATTATTTTTAAATACTGATAATTTATTTTTAAAATATTAAAATTTAATTAATAAATAAATATGATAAAAATATTATTATATTATATAAAAAGTTATAAGAATTTTTGAAAATCCTTTCATCAAAAAATGATCCCTAAAAACACTCTTACATTAAATAGATGTTAGTTTTTATTATATATGGGGATCGATTAAAATGCATTATCCCACTAATTTATTTAGAGTACGATAATAATTTATTCATTCCATTTTATTTGATGTTTTAGCAATTTTTATTTAATTCAATTTGATTATCATTTTACAATATTAATATTATATTAAATATTTTTTTTTATTATACCCTTAATCATTATTAATGTATTTTTTAATTATAGGAGGAAATTTAAAAGTTTTAAGGATATATTAAGATGTTACATAATTTATTTTATGAAATCTGACAATTATATTTCTTAAGTCTTGTATTAAAACATTAAACATTATTAAAACATTAAACATCAAATAAATAGAATCGACATATAAACTCTTTCATAAACATTTATGAGTCTAAAGCTTTTTCGTACATTTGACTTAGATATAAACCTTAAATTTATTTGCATCATAAAAATATCAGTAAAAGTCAATGTGATATTTATTACTTCAATATAAATATTTACTATTCAAATTAAATTTCACAGTAGTATTTAATAGATGCTTAAATTATTTACATAAATTAACCAGCGTTTGAGTAGTTTTTAATATATTTTTTATGTGTTAGTCTCTTCTCTCTCTCTAATAACATTCATGATTATTTCTAATATTGCCTAACTATCCCTTCTGCTCATGCATAACGCAAGTCAATCTCTCTCTCCTTTGAAAACGAGAGTTTCCCCTTGTTTGTTTCTAGAGAATTCGCATATGCAACTCCTTGTCTTGCTTATGTGAGGGAGTGTCTCGTGCCAATTAATCCATAAAAAAATTACAAAAACATCATGAAGATATATTAAATCTAAGTCTTTTGGCCTCTATTCTCAACTCCTACAAAATTACTACAGTAATTCTAGTGGTCCCTACAAAATGTTCTATATAAACGATACTCTTTCCATCATTGGACACATCCATTTCTGATATTCAATCACCATAGCTTTCAGTTGCTGCATCCTTCAATCATCTTTCTGTAAGCAAACACAATCTCCCTCTCTCCTCATGCTTTTCTATTGTTGTGTGTGTGCATATATGTCTGATTCTTCTTTACCATCATCCCATTTCACCATGGGGTTTTGTTGCCTTTGTTAATTTCCTGATTTGGTGATGAATGTCTCTCTTGGTTCTTGAAAAATTTGTTACTTTCGTTGGTGAAATTTATTGAGCATTTGGAGTTTTGATGAGTGTATGTTCATTGTATATATCAACTTTTCTATTCCAGGTTTCATTTTTTGTTTAACAAATTGTTTTTATCTCACTATCGATGTGTTATTTATTAAAAAAATATTGATAATTACAAAATCATGTGTACGACTTGTACAATTTTTTTAATTTTAATAAAATTCAACCAGTAATAAAGATTATAGTATCATTTTTCCCTTTTCTTAATGGATCATCTTATTACATATTACTCTTTTTTTTTTCTTCTTTTTGTACCATTTAAAAGTCACATCTTTCTAACACAACTTGAAACATTTCCAAAGTGGACCTCACAAATAAATTTTAAACCTAGTATTTACTATTATTATTTAATAAAAGTAAAGACATGAAAAATATTTAAGCACTCATCCTTAAATAAACACCAGATGCATCAAAAGCTATTAAACTTTCTCGCTATTGCACATCTCTCTCATTGAGCAACAAAGCATACAAGATTGTTTCACACAAACAACTTTTTATGGGAGGCCTTAGAAAGTGTGTTGCTGGCTAGAATTTTTCTTTGTTTTTTGTGTGTAAGAATTTTGTGCTGAGATTTGTATATATATGTTCGATGTTTTAGGTGTCTGAACTGAGACAATGGGGCGCGTTGCTGGTATTCAGGTTGGTACTATGAGTACGAGAAAATCTAATGGAAGGAAAAACAAAGATGTTGTTCAAGGTTCTACTACTGAAGAAGGTTCAAGATTTTGGAAGAAACTCGGGATTTTGCTATGTTGCTTGCGTTTGAATTCCAAGAAGGAAAGCTCCTCTAATGACAAAAGCAAACAACGTTATGGTATATATATTCTACCTAAACCATTCTTCTTTGAGTGGCAATCCCATGTTTCTTTTCCGATAGAGTATCTATACCATTGAACCTTTTATTCATAAGTTCAAACACCTAATTGAAATCACATTTCTTTTTAATAATGTGTCTTTTATCATATTATATCACTTATAACATCCATTATTTCTCTTTTTTTTTTTTTTTTTTCCAATTTAGACAATCCCCAAGGGAGTCCACAAAATTTTTTCCACATACCGTGATATCTCTCTCTTTCTTTTTGGATTTGTCCTCCATCTCTTCTTATTCTTGCTCTTCCTTTCTCATTTTAATTTACCTTAAATCAAATTATATATTAATTAGTGAATCCTGTTTTGGGATTTTATATCAAGCCCCATATGTTTATTTTGGTTTAGCTTGTTTTTAAAAAAAATGATTTTTTTACATATATCCTTCAGGAGTTATATTCCTTCGGAGAAAAGGTAAATCAAACTAAAAATAGTAATAGATATGAACTGATATTTGACAAAAGGAAAAGAAAAAGGCATACGATAAATACAAAAGCTGAAGTATGAAAAAATCAGGATTATAAATTTTGAAAAAAAAAATTTCAAAAGTTCTTTCGAGAATCCAACATGTAAAAAAATAAATTCCTTTCTTAAAATAACTTGAACCAAATCTACATACATTATACGCTTATATTAATGGAATAACTCGTGAAATAAAATTGAATGAGCGTGTTTTCAGTACAAAAATATACATATGTTGCAAATGGGAAATTCAGGATCTTCTTTAATCCCCAGGGGTTGACAAATTTAGACTTCATTAATTAATGTGTCTAATTCATGTACATTTTTACGTTGCTCATTAAATTAAACTTGATCTGATGCGTTTCTTTTTCAATGTAAATCAGCAGGAAGAAAAGTTACA